TTTTATTATTTGCTTACATTTTCCTTTATTTTATTTGGCTTTGCTCTGCTGTTTTCATACATATTCACACACACACACACACACACCCCTAATCTCACCTCTGTTGATTTTTATTTCGTTTGCAGCCTTTCTTTCGCTGGGGGTTAAGTATCTGTTTACATTTCTTTCTACACCTCATTCATTAAGTGCGTTCTGCCCCCCAAAGTTTGCGTGTGTATCTGAGCGAACTTGTTTTTTTTGTGGCCTGCAGTACTTTTTTTTTCATTTTTATTAATGTGGAGTCAGCTGCTGCACACCGATTAAAAAAAGCACGATTTCTTATACTCTTATTCAATGTAATTGATTTGGTTATGATTTAACAAACAATTTATTTAAATTTATTCATTTGATATCTTATATTTATATATATATTTCTTTAAATACTAATAAATGGTATACATTTTAAAAACAATTTAAATTTTCACTCTGTTCACCTTTCTTATCAGTTCATTTTGTAGTATTTATTTAGTTGTTTTTCTGTTGCCACTTTTGGCAGCATTCCCTTTGAATTTCCCTAAAGCACAATAAGGGTATTTACCCCCCGTTTGATTCCAATAATTTTCGCCGTTGTTTTCCTTCTCTTTGACTTTTATTATGCGCTTGCACCAATTTGGTTTAATACAAATTTTTGCTTTATATCGAGTGTTTTGTCGGAATTGAATTCGATTCAGCTCGTTCGGCTATTTCCCACCCACCGCTGAGCCAGCAGCATTAGATTGGTGTGGCCAAGAAAATTGTTTAGCTGGGATTAGCTTTCAGCTGGCTCCTGCCACACTGCGCTGCTCCTTTTTGGCCTGGCCTCATAAAAAGTTCATTCGCCAAAATGGCCAAATGTTTACTGTGCTTCAATCCAGCTCCTGGCCCCGAGCCACGCCCCCATTTTGATTCTTCTCGCATGTGGAATGCTTTCTGCTTTTGCGGTTGCCGCTGGCTAGCTAGCCAATTGTTGTTTATATTTTTGGCTTATTTTTATTTGCTGTGTTTGCTGGCATTGTTTCTCTTCGCCCTCCTTTCTCTACGCCGCAGTTGATTGCCTGGCTCCTTGCCGGGAAATTGATTTGCATTTGTTTGTGGGGTGGCAGGGAAATTGCAGAGATCTTTCGATAATTGAAAATTGTATTTCGCACGATTGAGGGGCAAAGGTCAGAGGAAAAACGTCACTGGCAATCAGCTGACATGTAAGTCAGGAAAAATGTAACTTTAGTTGGCAAACTACTGATATTTAAACCACCAATAAATAAATGCTAATACATGTTATAAAAGCTGACTATTAATACTAATAATATTTTTTGAACACATACAAAACTGAATTTCTTTATATTTAATATTTTTCCCTGTGAAACTAAACATTTAAAAAGGTTTTCCAGGACCTTTAATTCTTTAAATTCTTTAAACCCTTTCTCTGTTCATTTAGCATCACCATGTGGCTATTACAAACCAAATGGCAGAACTTCCAGCCAACATGATGAGGTCACCTTCTGATCGAAAAAAAGGAGTAAAAAATCTTGCATAGGGCAATAGAATCACCATCATCCTCCCACAACCAAACCGACCTCCACTTTTTATTCAGTCCTGTGCAAATAGCAGAAAGCAGCTGCAGTTTGCAGTTGCCGAGTGGAAAATTTAATTACATGCAAATACCGTTAACTGCTGCTGGGACAGTAGATTGCGGGAATGCTTTTTTGCGGGCTGGATTCTATGGCCAACATGCCAAAGGACTCGGGAGGATGATGCCCATGGCCAAAGGACAATCGTCTGACGGTTCCTTGTTATTGTTGCCACTGAAGTGGTGGTTCACAAAAAAAAAAAGGGGGGAAAAAAACGGGAAACCGAGTTTTCTTTTAGCTGCAACTGCAGTTGTTGTGGCAGCTATATTCTCCCACATGCAAACACCGAACCCACATTCATATATGCAAATCCTTCTCATAAAGCTTGTTATTATTCCTGCTTTGTTTTCTCATTTTTTTTATTATTCCCTCCGATGTTTTGTTTTATCTTTGCAACTCTTTGGGATGTTTGTTTTATTCCCGCCTGCAGGTTAAAGCAAATATTTGCATATTAGCTGGATTTTCTATTTTTTCCCCCCTCCAGACAACTACAACTTTAATAGAAATAAAAATCAATAGTTTGTTCAGCTTTAAATTAAACCAAACAGAAATTTATTGCATAAGAATGCAATTTATTTAAAACGCAATTTGGCCACAGGCAGGCCTGTTATCTAATGGAGCATAACTTTATTGTTTTCACTTGTTTCAGCTCGACATATTTAATGGATTTTATTTGAACTGCTTTAATACATTAAGAACGTGTATTGTGAATTTTAGCATACATACAATAATATAATAATAAATGTTCTTAATAATGCATTTTGAAAAATGTTTAATGTATTCTTATTATTATTTCTTTTTCAATGCCCTTGGGTAAGCTTGAAAGGCTGTCCAAGTTTTTGGCCTTAAACTTTTCCCGTTGCACTTTGATTTGGATAGGAAATCGCAAAGTTTGTGGTTCTGTTTCTGTTTTAATGTCTGCTCCTGTTGGTCGCTGTCAAAGTTGTTGCAGTTGCTGTGGGAATTATTTGCATGTAGCTATTGTTTACACATAGTTACTGTCGTTGTCAGTTAATGTAAATTTGTTTCCACAATGTTTGTGGTTCTGGTTTTTAGATGAACTAAAAATTACCAAATTTTTTTTTTTTTAACAGCAAAGGAATTTTAAATAGTAATATGATTTTAAGGGGTGCTTATTTTTAACATTTTGAGGTATTTAATTTTATGAATGCCATGCAATTCAAAATCCATTATTTATAGGGTTTCTTCCATGTAATTTCTCTTTGAAAATATTTATTACTGCGCCACTGCGTATACGTAATATTTGGCTAGAATTTATTTTAATGAGACAATTAATTCTACTCTACCTACAAGTACTGTATATTTTTTATTTCCAGACCATTTAACCCCAGAATAGCGCACTATATTAAGCCCCATATTTTCGAGCCCACTTGTGAGCCGCACAAAAGTTGGCCAATCAATTAGTCAGAAGTTCTCAAATGTGGGCTCTAACGACGTCTGCTTTGACTTTGTGGCAGCCGAAAAGGGGGAATGGGGAAAATAGGGGGGATATTCACACGTCGAACCACTTAACAGGTGAATGTGGGTGTTAAGCCCCGGGTTTATTTACATGGCCAGCTTTCTTGGGACCAGCCACGTCAAAAAGTGCACAAATTACCTGTGATGGGTGGGTATATATATACTATATATATATGGCTGCTCTATTTACAGCACCCGCCGATTTTCCCCGCCCCTTTTTGCCGCAGTCTGACAATTAATCACTTTGTCATAGACGACGTCTCCCTTCGATTTCCCGACACACACACACACACAAACAACCAGGCCTCCAATCATTAATTTATCATGTGCACTTAGCAGGAAAATTGCGACAAACCCCACAACATTTTCCCTGCAGTTTACATATGTGTGTGTGTGTGGGTGTGTGGGTGTTCGGTGTGTCCAGTGTCATACTTTGTTTTTCCTTTTGTTTGCTTATTTGCCGCGTTTCTTTCTAGGTTTTCCAGGTTTTGTTTTGCATAGTTCGTTGTCGTTGTCGTTCGACTGTCGTTGACATATGACGCCAAGTGGGCGGTTGAGGGGGCGTGACAGCCGCAGTTTAATTACCGCAGTTGAGCAGGGGGCGTGGTCCAGGTAGAACTACAAATTAATTGCGCCCAACAATTTGCAGCAGAGCAACGCGACGCCGTGGAGGGATATTTACACGCAAAATTAAAAATTAATGCAATCAGCAAACAGTGAAAAAATGCAAACAGCGCCCATAAAGGATATATAGCCCACATGCTTAAATGTGTTTTTTGTCCACTTTGATTGTTCAGTTGATGAAATTTTAATTGTATTTGAGTGAATGCAATTTATTAAAATAAATGTACGTGCATTCTATAAACGAACTAACTATGATTTTTCCGCTCTTTTCTTCTCGTTGCAGGTAAGCCAAACACACTCAATTAATTAATAACGAAATGGCGAAAGGTAAAAGCTGGTATTTAAGTTAAATAAAATTGGACTTTAAAGGTGGAATGGTAAATCGCAACCTTTCGTTTCTATTATCTCGCAGCGACAGGCGAGACCACAATGTCAGTCCCTTGCCTTCGCGGAATGTCGAAAAATGCAATTTTTAAATTTCCATTAATTTCGCGCTGTCGACTTTTGTGAAATGTCGCTGGATGGAGAGAATCCAGCGCTCGAACGAAAATAAAGACAGAAATGTCTCCGGGTGCAACAACAACAACAGCAATAACAACAAAAAAGAATGTTGTCAGCCATGCAAATAAGCACAGGTGAGAGCAGGTAACCTGCTGTCTAAGTGACTGATGCCCGTGAGTGTGTTCGGTTTTCTTTTTCCTCGTTCTTTTTTTTTGTGTCCCCGGGAAAATGGGAAAACGGTAAGGATCTGCTCAGCAGGCCGCCGGCATCAGCTTCCCGTTGTGAACTTTTTCCGTTTCTCTGCGTTTTTTTTGTATACCTGTGTTACCTGTTCTGCTTTTAATGACACACACGGACCACACCCACTGCCGCCCACCGCCCATCGCTTGTCAAGAGGTGGCAATAACATAGAGAGGGCAACGCTTCAAGGACCGACGTCCTACGACTATTTTAGCCAGATCCTCTTGTTGTCACTGTGTCGCTGAACAAGCGACTTTACACCGACAACGTGACATTTAATTCAAAATGTTTTACGCGCTACCCCACACAATCCTGTCTCTTCGTTTTCTCCACACACACACACGTTTTCCTCTTGTCGCGATTGTTAAAAAAAAAAATAAGGAGGATGCTAAGGAAAAAATAACAGGACGAGAAAAGCTGTAAGTGACAAATTTATGCTACTGACTCCGCAGAAACCAAATGTTAGAATGTAAAGACTTCGATTAACTATAAACCAAACGAATTTTAAAGTAGTTTCTAATCAACAATCAGGTCACTTTTAATTTATACGCTTCATGAAATTATGAAATGTGGAAGTAAAAAATTCTATAAAAATACTGGACAAATTTCTTCAAACTTTGCTTCATAGAGAGAAAGCCTCCTCGTGTTTAATCCTCCTCGTCTTCGCCCTCGCCTCCTTCGACGGCAGGACCTCCGCCTTCCTCCTCCTCGACCATCTCCTCCGAGGAGCTGACCTCGATAATGGGTTCGATCTCCGAAGCCAGATCCTCCTCGAAGTCACTGATCTCGCCCAGTTCTTGCAGACACTTGTCGTAGTTCTCATCGAAGCGAATGTTATCGTTGAGCGATCTAACTTCCACTTCTTCATCGGGAGGAAGTAGAGCAGGAGCTGTGCCAGGCGGACATTCCGTAATATTTCGAATCGTGAGGGTGTGGATATGGAACATAGCCGATCGATTCGATTCCAGCAAAATCTGATGAAAGACACTCAGCAAGCGATCCATGTTTCCGAACATTCTAACCGTGGCACTCTTGGGATCCTCACCCTCCTCCAAAATGCGACCCACAATATTGTGGCGATACGGATCCATTAGGTAGATGAAATCAGACTTCTTCCACAGCGAATACATTTGATTGTTGATCTGAAAGATCACATAATCGTTCTGGTCGAGAGCCTTCTCCAGCATTAGGTGAAAATCGTTGAACTTGTACATCGGCACACATTTCCACCAGCCCTCGTAAACATTTGGAGAGAGCAAAATCTCGGCCACAAACTGACCCATGCGAATCTGTCGCGGGAACTCATCCAGATCCATGGGCTTACTCAGATCCACGCAGGGTTCCCAACAGTTTTTGCACATATTAACGCCATAGCACATGACCTTGTCGTACATTTTCTCATCCCAAGTGGCAGGATGATCGATTTTGGAGGCCAGGGCGGTGGCCACGGCAACTGGCAGAGCACTTCGATTCCTCAAAGCGTCCTGTGGGTTCAGCGTAAGATGTAGATTCGACTTGACATAGGCATAATCCGAGGCGATCACATTGAACTGGCTCATTCGCATCCCGTGCTCTCGCTCCCAACTTTGTGCACTTCCTCCAGGGCCAAACGCACCAGGGGTGGCCATCCGAACCACAATGATCTCCCTAATCGTAAACCTAGTATCCTTCTCCAGATCGCTCATCTTCTTAATCAACCAGACGACATTGTCCAGGGACTTGAGGCACAGTAGCAGAGGGAAACCCTCCTCATAGTTTGGCTTCATGGTGTTCCTATCCCTGCCATTCAGATCCAAGACCATCCAGACACCCTTCTCCTTCCAAATGAGTAGATACCAGTTGGGAGTGAAGAACACTCCATATTTGGCCTGCTTGAAAAAGGCTCTCAGGATTCTCCGAAGATTGTGAATTATACTCGGGTAGCCGTAGATTTCGAATGGCATCTCCAATTCCATGGCAAACTCAATTTCGTTGATCTTAAAGTGTCGCGTAACCCGCTGTTCGTTTTCATCGTAAATATCTGGGGCTTCCAGCGCATTGGGTTCTGGCATGTTCTCGGAATCGTTGTACAACACCTGGCCCTCGTTCACAATCATATCGATCGTCTCCGGTTTCCATTCGTCGCGACGAGTGTAATAGGAGTGGGCGAATGCCTTCAGATTTCCGGCGAAACGAACGCTCTCTTGATTCGGAATTCCCCCCTTAACCATTGCTATGCCCGAGACTACGCCTATGGGATAACCCAACGATCGATCGATGTTATGGCGACGCATTCGAGCACACTCTTTAGGATCAAATGGCTGGTAATACGGCTCATCGTGACCGCCGAAGATCAAGCAATTCTTAAAGGAACAAGGATCGTACGGCTGCGGCCATAGTTTGTCCAAGCGCACCAGACTTTAAAGGGAATTAGGAAATAGTATTCTTTAATAGTTTGGGAATACACTTACGGTGGATCACAGGGAGTGCAAGGATAACAGGACATGGGTGTATCCCTTGGCTGTACACAGCTTGGCTGACATCTTGGCTGACATCCTGGCTGACAGCATGCTCCTGCCTTCAAGCGTTTCGCCATTTCACAAAGATTTTGAAACGAAATTCGGCTTTTCTTTTACAAATAATTTGAAGAGCTACAAACGTTCGTCTGCCGTTTGTTGAAAGCTACTGATTAACGAACTTTTTACGATTTTGACAAGCAGTTCACTAGGTTGTATCATTTTAAAGGATGACTTGTTGGGAAATTTAAAACTTAAAACTATACTATAGAGTATAAATATATATTTAATGCTATCCCCCAGAAAAGGGATTTTAAGTGAAGCCGAGAATAATTCTCTACCACACTTGTTTGCTGTGCAAATGCAAACGCTTTTCTTCCATTGAAATCACTTATACCTGCACTTAACCAACCTTTCATTAGCCGCTCCTTTCATCGATAGACTCACCTGCTGACAGATTTGATCTCGACTAAGAGCTCACACGAAAACCGCAATGGAAAAGCCCTCGACTTTCATTACACAAATTGCGTTTGCAGTTCGTTGGAGGCGGAGGAAGCGACGCGGTGGCACTACTCACATGGGATGGCAAACTTATGATAATTTTTATTGTGCACACGCCAAGTCAGCAGTGGAAATCAGTTGAGGGCCATTCTTGTTTTTGGCTTTGGCTTTGGCTTTTACGAGGCCGGCAGTTAATTCCTTATCCGGCCAGGAGATGAGACAGTTAACAGGCAACAGCTAAATGTAATTGGAAAGCTCATCAAGTGCTGTCGTTCGTGGCTTGCCACTTGAGTGGGCCCGCAAAAGTATGCAAAGAATTTTTGCTGCCATCAAGTTTGGTTTATTTTCCGCTGCTATTTTTGCTGTGCGGTTTATTGAAAATCAGCACAGCAGAGCCCAGCACAGTACAGTACAGCACGGCGTATACGTAACATCTCGTCGGGGGAAACCTCGCCGGAGTCTCACTGCTTAGCTAAGCTGCTTTGATGGCATTTACGAGCGAGCCCTTTATTGTCCTTTTGTTTTTGCTTCTCGCCGCTGTTCCACAGCCACTGTGTGGTATCCACGTAATTGGCTTAGCAAACGAGAGGTTTTTGGGGTAAAAATATATATATAGAGAGAGCACACAGTGCTATTAACAATTTCGTTGTGTGCAACGTTTTTATTTCGTGTCATCCAATCAGCAAGGATTCCATTTCCCACCCACACCCTCTTTTTTTTTGGGGGGTACATGTGAGATTGATTCCCCGAGCAGCCATCAAAGGGGATTCCTTTGCTTCTTTCCCTTTTTTTTTTTCCTTGGCCCTTCCCTCTGAGATTTTTCATTTTCCGTGGCGGGAGTTGCCTTGGCTCGCCTTGTCTGGACGGACTTCCTTCGATATCTACTCGGAGTGCAATAAATTTAGCTCGAATCGTAAATTTTAAACACTTCATTAAACAAACGAAAAGGAAACGAAATCGCTTAACGATTATCGCCTGGTCTGCACCCGCTCAACTCGCTGCTCCGTCCATTACTGCCTATGATTGCACTGGGAGAAAAATATTAAAAGGCTTTTATGAGAAAGTAATAAATAAAAATAAGCTTCTAAAGTAATTAGTAAATTCCAATTTGAATTCTTGTATAACATAGATATATTTAAAATAAAGCTATCGTTACTGGAAGAAAAATACAAATATGTTTTAATGGGAAAGTAATTAAAATACAACTATTGTAACAACCGTACTAAAAATAATTTAAAAATTAGAAAAAAAAAAAAAATCTGCTGAATAACTTTTCCCTGAAATAATTTCTCCATTCTGGTTTTTTTTTTCCCGCAAAATCACTGTGTATTGTGCAACTCGACTGGCTGTTAAACATTTTCTTTGTTATTTTCCATTTTCGGCGCTGCAACGAAGTCCGTGGGGAGAAGTCTTGGTGCAGTGCAACCGGAGTGAACTGGGTAAACTTCAACTTCTGCTGTGGAAGCGCCACCATGATGACCACTGTGGATTGGAGCCGAATCTCGCCTTCTTGCCCATTTTCTAGCCGCTCCGGCTGTCGTCTGGTTCAGTGCTCAATAATGATTTCCATTGCGAATTATTTGCATTTCCCCAAACTCATTATGTTTGCATTGTGCAAAAATTCGCCCCGACGTTTGCCATGGCCATCCACCTGAATTTGGATTCCGCTTCTCTCCACCTCAGCCTCTTGATCCACATTTCGCCTGCTCGCCATCTAAAAATATTTCCAAATGCTTTTGTTAGCTTTGGCGGTTTTCGCAGGTTGCTACGAGGCTTCTTGGAATTTTGAATGGTTCTCGCAAATGGAATTTCACTCCCGCTTATTGAGTTGTATTTCACAATTGCCTTAAATTAGAGTACCTGGAACCACATTATAAAGCCAGTTTGCTGTGCATACTTTTTATATTTTATTACAAGCCGTAGTTCAATGAAACCTGTTTAAAATTTCTTATAAAAAAGCTTGGCGATTTTATCTAAAATTAAAATGTTATTTATTTCTTGTAGGTCATGTTTCTTCACCTAAAAAAACTATGGAAAATGTTTCATAGCAACACATTGTTGAAATTGCTTTCCATTACCCTATTTTAATAATAAATATTTGACTGTTGTTGAAAATTCCAAATAATTAAATTAGCCCTATAAAAATGGCTCACCATAAAGGTTGAAAAAATTTATATTTTTTCGTGTTCCAAAATTTAATTAACTTCCTTTAATAAATAAAATCATGGTGCAGGTATGAGATGTGGACAAGCGAATAAAAAGGTTTGAAAAATAATATTTCTGGTGGCGTTCATCCTTATTTTACTCACGCCATCTCGGCCGTTTCATTTCATTTCGTTTCGTTTCGTTTATTACATGTCAAGCGTCAATGAATGTCAGTTTGACAGTTCATAAGACAAATACGACAATGGCAGCGATGCCAGCGGAAATGGTTGGATAGTTTTGAGGGTTTTTCAGGCGAGAGAGACGGAGGACAGGTGCGTCTGGGTGTTTCGCTGCGGACATTAATGTGTCACCGTGTGCAGCGTCTTGTGGCATATGAGGGACGTGCTGCTCAGTCTTCGGGCCAACACCTCCTCTTGCCACCCAACACCAACACCCTCCCTCCACCGCCCATTCCACCCACTGCATCCCTGAATAATGTGTGTAAATGGGGCCCGAAAGACGAAGACCGTAGTCTTTGGCCGTTCTCGAGGAACGTGTAAGTGGCCTCGGGCAGAAGGGATATTTCTGTGGGCGGGATATGCGACAGGATGTGGCAGGATGTGCGAGTTGCTGCAGCTGTCGTCGGAACATGACAACTTATTGGCATTTGGCTGCCAGCTTCCCCGACAGTTTGCTTCCACATTTGAGGCCTTAAACAATTTCTAGCTGCAAATTGAAAATCAGATAAAAATGGGGAGCATAAACGAATGGATAGGTATCCTTTCATAGATTGAAAAACGTAGGCAATACACTTTAAAAATTTTAAATTAAATTTCTTGATAAAAAAACATTTCTTTTACCAGAAAATATTTTACATTTGTGGTGAAATTTTCCTAAAGAGTAAAGTTAGCCTTGAACCTTAAAGAACTGTTCATTAAAAATGAATATCGTTTTCTCTCTGTGCACATCTGCGGCACTAAGGACTCTTGTTCTCAGAATTCTATCGCCTCTGGACTAACTCAGTTCCCTTATTGACATTTCCCCTCCCCTGTTGACAGCCTAGAACTTTTCAATGCATTGTCATAAATCATTTTGCGGCAAAAACAAGTTGAACGCCACGCCCACACATCTGACTGCCACATGCCGTGGACATTCCATTGTGTTTGCCAGGGAAATGGCCGTGGGTGCTGGCGGGGAAAATGGGTAGCGAGAAGCAGGCAAAATTCGAGGCAGTCCGAGAGAAAGAGAGAGAGAGAGAGAGGAGAGACAGGGAGAGAGAGAAATGTCAAAGTTGAGTCAGCTTTGTGTGAAGTAGTGGGCATGGCTGGAATTCCCTTCCTGTTGGAATTCCACCTCCACTTATTTTTGCTCAGCTGGCTCGCTTTCCTTGGCATATGTCAAGATCCTCGGTCATACCTGAGTACTCAAGTATGAGAGAATTCTATAGGTTTTTTCTTATTTTTTTTTTGGTTTTGTCCTATTTCTGGTTGCATTATCATCGTCATCATCAACGGACCAAAGTTGAGTGGCGAAAACGACTGGAAAGAATGCCTGGGGTAGCACTTAATATTGCGTATACGCCGCATTGTTCAAAACCGACTCCAGCTCGGCATACCTACTTAATATCTCTTGTTACTTTTCTGACATGACTTTAACGCACAACATAACTGATGTTTTTTATTATGGCCGTGAAGGGTGTATACTTTTGAGCCCACTGTGTGCTATTAACAGCTGTTGCCAAATGGATTTCAGCTTCTTTCGGTTTTGCAAATTGAAATTGTTCTCGGCAATATGAGATTTTGATGTTTTTAGCATCATGACATAAACAGCTGCTGTCGTATATTTGTAACTTGATCACGGTACCCTATATTTTTATGCTCAGAAAGGGAAGAGTGTAATGTGTTTTAAACCTATATTTTATATGTTGTCGTACAAAATAACTTATTTTTCCTGGAAAGAGACGTTAACTGGCAGGAATGGGGAATAAAACTAGGATTTTTTTTTTTGTGATTTCTACCGAGAACATGGTTTAATCCTAATAATCCTCTTTCACTTCCCTCACACTCTTCTTTTCATTTAATTACCTACTAATTGTTTGTTCTTCAAAGTGGAATCTTGTAGCTTTATTTTTGCTACTCCCTTTCTTACTCTGTTTTTGCCTCACATTTTGATTATTTCAACCTGATATCCGGCAGTTTTTTGTTTTAACCCGTTCTTTGGTCTCATTAAGCAGCCATTTCTCAAATTCCTTCTCACTTTGCAGCACAAAATGGCTGCCACTTCCTTTAGCTGCTGCTCGATGTCCTGATTACTGGCAACTGCTTCCGTTTTTAATATTTATAATCCAGTGTAATTAAGACGAGAGCGCCAAAGAGTCGCGTAGCAAAACGAAAACGAAACGAAACGAGAAGAAAAATGTAGCATTAATTACCAGGAAAGCTTTTTATGGCAAGGACCCAGGACCAGCGGCGAAGAAAAGTACATTTAAATATATATATATATATATATAAAAGGAAAGTGCATGAATATAAATGCGTATCACTTGAAAAATGTATAATTAGTGGCAGTTAATAACTTTTTCGCGAGTTCTCACGCACCGAAAGAGGTTGAACCGCACGCACTAATTAAATATAAAGTGGAGAAGGTTCGGTGAAAAAAATGGGGATTGCTGCTGGGTCGTCCAACCGGGCCATAAATTATAAAAGCCAAAAAAGTATTTTTAGTTGACCTCAAGAGGAGGATGGGGGATTGGGGAGGGCAAGGAAAACCGCAAAGGCAAGTTGACAAAGAGCAGAACACGCTGAAAAATGCGTCTCAGATTGAGATAAGTTTCATCTGAACTTCCTCACTCCACCTGCGAAAAGTCCTTTGCCGTTATTCTTGGCCTAATTTGTGGTTTTCCTTTTTCCCTTTTTTGGTCGAAATTAGCTTCATTATTGTAATTAACTTTGTTTGCTCAGTCGCCGTTGCTGTTGCTGTCTCGCTGTCGACGTCTCTTGGCTTTTGTTAAATTTGGCAAATTAGTTATAGAGTTTGCGGGGAGGGGATTGATTGTTTGCCTGGATAATTGAATGCCTAAACAAATAGCAATCGATTGAGCTACGCAATTGACTTTGATTTGATTAGATTTATCTTGACATCGTCCCCTAGAAAGGTTTCCATTCTCATTTTCCTTGAAATTGAACTCATTATAATGGAATTGGAAAATGGCTTTTCTCCAATTAAATACACTTTTTACTCCGATCACATTTCCTTTTCTCGCACATTCCTCATTCGAAACATATGTAACGTTTATTCTTGGCCCGACCGAAACCCAAATCAAAATTCAATTCGTTATTTATTTGTGTGAGTGGAGGCCATCTGTCTGTGTGTGTGAGTGGGCCTTTCTGCTTCCGTTTCCGTTTTGTGGCTGCCACGTGGCTGAAATGTTAAAAGCCTAAATAATTGCCAGCATTTTATTTATTTATTTATTCGTCTCTTTTATTATTCTCTGGTTACCAAAAAAGGTTTACGATTCTGGGATATTTATTTTTTTTTTCGTTTCTGCTACCGCTGTGCAACAACATTTTAATACCGTGACAAAAGTGTATTATAATTTTGATGAAGACACAAGGTGGATTTATAAATAACGCCAAATCGGGGCTTTAAATACAGCTTTCGATTTTATATTATGTTTATCTTAGTTGACAAACACATTTATCTCTATTTGCTTATTTGAATTAGTTAATTTTAAGAGTGAATAAATGCTTTCTGTTTAGTTTGGTTTGGTCTTTGGTTATAAACTTTAAAATTTGAATGTATTTTGTACTTTTAAAAGCCTATACTGTTATTTTCCTTTGAATAATCACAAGCTTGTTCAAACATAATATTTATAAGCTACTGCTTTATGTCAATCTACGCAAAAAATTAAATTGAATGAAATCAGATTGCATTTCGTGCAGATGTGAAAATATCGTAGGCTCTCTTTTTTTAATTATCTGAACAGCAACTCCTTTTTCATTTTCTTAAAAAAAAGATTTCCTGTTGAATTTTTCCTTCGCTGAGACAGTTTTTTCACACAATTGTATCGGCTTTCGAATGCTCCGATTTCGTTGGCCTTCAATTAGAGTTTTTTATTTCATTCGAGTGCCGAGAACTTCAGTTTGTGTAGTCTGATCGAGTCTGGACTCTGTGGGCCTTTGTCAGTATCTGTTTTGAGTTCGAAGACTTGACTTCGCGCGTGTTTGCCAGTTAGATAACGAAAGATACATAGAGTTATACAGATAGATATATCGATGTCATATTCATCTGGGTCTCGGCATGACTTTAGCGACATTCATGAGCGGCTGCATCGTTTGTCATTGCTGCGATGGCATTTCAATTTGCATGGCATGACGACCGATTTGCAGAGGGCAGCTTTTGAGGCGGATGAAAGGGGGAGTGGTAGTGGCAGTGGGAGGAGCTACGGTGGAATGGCAGCAAACAATCACCAGCAACAGCAGCAGCAGCAGCATCAGATCCAGCATCAAAATCAGCAGCAGCAGGAGGAACGGCATCGCCAACGCAATCACAATCACAATCACAATCAATTTGCACAGGGCCAGAGTCACCGGCAGCCATATCCCGCCGCCACTTCACCGAGCAACCCATTTTCATCCGGGATTCCCCCGTCCTCCTCCTCCTGGCGTTTCCACGGCCAGGATCTGGTCGCCTCGATTCGTGGACATTATGTGAGTTATTTGCTAATTGCCGCAGCCGAAATGAAAAACGAAAAAGCGTTGGCAAAAATCATGGCAAAAGTTTGCTTTTGACGTGGGCGTGGCAGCGACATGTAAACCGCCGCCGACAACATGACAGGCCACAACAACAACAACAAAAGCAAGAAAAGCAACAACAACAAGTGAAACCTCAGTGTTTTTAGAGTGCAAAAACGCGAGGGGCCACTGGCTTTGGTTTACATTTCCAAATGAGTGCTAAACACTTTGCTGACTTTGACAGGCAGATTTGAAGTGAAGTGATTTATATTGCCTTGCATATAAGTGTTTTCATAACATATATTTTAAACGCTTCCCATCAGTCAAATATTAAAGTTGTGTTCTCAGCGGGAGATGTAATATTTGTTGAAATATTAAACTGTTGAGAATCGATTCTTAATAAATATTTCAAATGCTTTTTATTAGTTCGTACTTCTACTTTTTTTTATACTTCCATTTTATATTATATATAGTTTATTTTTTTATATTTATTTTATTTTATATATATTTTATTTAATATATTTTTATTTTTATTTATTTTATTTTATTTTGAAATACTAATACAATCCCACGAATATATTAAATTTGATAGACTTCAAAATATTTAAAATAACCAAAGTTAAAACCGATGTAAGAGTTTAGCAACCCAACTTGATTAACAGAACAGATTCAGGATATTTTCTTCTTTCTTTACCCCTACTTTTATTTCGACTCTCAGCCGTAAGAATTCGCCCCCTAGTAAGAAAAAATGTTCATTGTTATTGACAAACAAGCGACATTGTGCGGCTTTGATTGTCATCCTGGCTGGCTAGGATGCACCAATACAGGGCCACACCTTAACTGTGTTCCGCTCACCGCATCCCGGGATCCTCTTAACCCTCCGCTGGGCCTCCGCTCCTTAACCCTCCTCCGGCCTCCTGTCTGTGGCTTTTTCCGTCTTCGTGCGCTTTGGACGTGTTGGGACACCACTTAATTTCCGGCAATGCGAGTCACGTACGCTCCATCCTGCCTTTATGTGCAATGACATTTTCATTTTGTTCACACTCACCAACACTCGCTGACACTCACACTCGTGCAGTACACACACACACACACACAAATACAGAGACATCGGTGCAGACATGTTACAAAATGGCAAACACTTTTTGGCCTTGCAAAAGTTTTTGTCAACTCATTTTGTTGCAATTTGCACAAACTCTAAAACAAAATACAAAAAAAAAAAAAGCGGAGAAGACGACGAAGAAACTCGATTATTTTTAATTAAAACAACATTGAGGCAAAGGAAAAGAAAAAGACTGGAGAAAAGCTGAAAATTCTAAGCAAAGGAGTTGCACGATTCAATTGCAGGCTTCTGCGGTCAAGTAGCGAGTTTAGGGCTTTTCCTTTGCGTTTCCTTTAATTACACGCTAACGATGCCGTGCCAACAAGCTGGCACAAAAACTTGAATAGAAGCGAACAGATTTTTCCGCGGAAAAGCCAACCAGACCGTGAGTTTAATGAAAAAACAAAAACCGAAAAGTGGACAATCCTCACGGAACTCTGTCGCCTTTGAAATGCGATTCTTGTTTGGCTTTTTCGATGCGTATCATAATCAAAGTCATCCGCAAAACGCTAGTCATATCCGATTTAATGACGACGGGACGGGTGGGGGGGAAATAAATGGATGGGGCTACCAACTGTTTGCCATCATCGATTTGTTTACATTAAGCGGAAACCATTTGTTTACTTTGGCCCTGTGTTGCCTGGTTTTTTATTTTCTCAAAATGAAATTACATCCGCTAAACGTGTTTGGAATTCCTAAAAATGGGGGAAAAAATAACAATGCTACCAGGTATTAAAGGTTTTTAAGAATTAGACTGTTGAGTATATAATAGATTCTACAAATCCAATAAACAGACTTAGAACTACTGTTCTCAAATGATTAATTTCAAAGAATAATATTATAAAAAAAAACTTAAGCTTAGCCATGCCCAATATCTGATTAAAAATTAATTTAATTCCACAAACTTGCAGTTGCTAAAAACCATTTCATATTTATGGAATTTCAAAAGGAAAAACCGCTGGCAGGCCAGACTCTCGTGGCAATTACACACCCGAAATTGGATAATTTTCACAGACCTTTCCACTTTTCACACACTTGAGAAAATAATTTTCCAGTTGCCACTCAAAATGCAGAGGCAGAACCGGAAATTATAATTAAATTTTGCGTTTTGCATTAGCCTCTCCAGTGGATGATGGCGGTAAAGAGGGGAAAGGAGGGAGTGGTGGGCGATCTAAGCCGCTGCCACGCCCTCGTCCTTCTGTCTGCGGTTTGAGCGTTGAGCTCTGTATGACAGAGATGGAAAACCGCTAGACAAAGGACCAACAAGACAAATAAAAATAAAACACAATGTGTGGCAGGAGGCGATGGGGAGTTTGAAGGAAAAGCTGCAGCTGGGGTTTTCCACTTGGCGAAGATTTATTGGCCGGGCCCAAAGGAGGATTACCCGAGCGACAGGATCCTTGTTACCATAAAGCCGCTTAAAGATTTTCATTTCCCGACCAACAAAAAAAAAAAAAAGAAACACACAAAGTATAAGCAAAGGCGAAACAAAAGCCCGTTGCGAAGACAAATGAAATAAGGAATAATTAATTTTATATGGGTGTCGTCGTTATTGTTGTTTGGTTTTTAATTTCGCATTGTAAAAACTGTAATTGGTTTGGCTGCTGATAAATTTACTTCATAATTTGTTCGGTTCGGTTTTAATTGTTTTCGCGGGGGAGTGTACTGTGTACTGTGATTTTATAGCCTGCTTTTTGGCCATTGCCGTGTAATGTGCCGCGTGCGCATTAAAAATTCAATAAAAATACTCACTAAATATAAATGCAGCGGCAGCATCCGAAGAGCGGCAGCCGTGGAGAGCGTTAAAAATTTTCATTAAAACTAAAATTGCAATTTCGCCGGCGAGCGGGATAAAGTTAGCGGAGTGCGGGGAGGCTTCGGAATTTATGATGCTTACGTGACCGCTGAAAAGGGGGGCTTAAATGATGGCTTAAATGAGTCGTGCCTGCGCGGCATAAGCTCGCCATTTCCCCCCAGCCACTCCTGCCGCCACCCTCGGCTGCATTTGCCAGTTGCATTTGAATTTATTAACAAAAGTTGGCCCACGTCCAGTCACTGGCGGGAAAACTACAAGTGAAATGTAATTTTACGGCAGGGCCTAAAATAAATAACAGTTGCAGGATGCCAAGCGAAATGGAGAGCGCGGAAAAGCTGACTTCGGCACGTGAATATTTGGAAATTATTTTCTATTGTAGAAATTCCCATTTGGGCTGCAAAAGGTTAAATTACTAAATTGCATTTGCCCAGTGCATGAATGGAGAATCTGTACGAATTTTGATGACAGAAAATTAAATTCCCTCTAAATGAAAAATATTGCAATGCAAAATTCAATTTGTGTTGCCATGAGAATTTGGCAAAATCAAAATTCAAAGGTTATAAAATGTTTATCATATTTTATTTTGCAGTGTGGACGGCAATTCATTTTCCAAATTTAAATCCCTGCATAATTTTTGATTGTAAAACAAGTAAATTTGATTGAAAAGTGAAATATTATGAAAGCCAATAAAGTAAAACCGAAATGGTTTTATACATATTGCTTATCATTTGTATGATAGCTTGCAATTTATTGGGACATTAGTGCGTAATGCTGTTATTTATATTTTTGTTGCTCTTTTAGTAATCTTTTATATAACATTTAAGTGTAGAGTATAGTCATCTTGGTAAATTTCCACGATACAAATAAAATTTGAGCATAAATAACCCGGAAAACATCTGTTTCCCAAGTTTTCTCTCCCCGCCATACGAAATCACTTAGTGCAAAAGTTTCTTCATTTTCCCCTCGATTTTTCCTTTTTTTGTTGTTTTGACTGCTGGTGCGCCCCAAAAGGCGTTAAAGGCTTAGACGTATTTTCCTCACCTAACACCCTGAATTTTCGGCCAAAAAATACCCCCCTTTTTCCTCCATTTTGACTGCTGGAAATGTAATTTTGTCGTAAATGTCATTTTTTATGTTGTTTCGTTCTTTTGTCGCTGTCGTCTGCAATTGTTTTTGTTGTGCGTTGTGTCGCAACCTCACCCTCCCCCCAAAAAAAGGAAAAAGAAAGAAATAAGCGCAAGAAAAATGTGTTCAAATCAGTGGCAGCTAAGCCTTTCCACCCAATTTCCCAACCCCTTGAACGACATTTCAACTCGTTCATTTTATTGGATTTCTTGCTGCTTCGACTTTCTTTTTCGCTGTTGGTTGTTACATTTAATGAAAATTTGTTGGCAACCTGAAAGGCGTGGAAAATTTTAAATTGAATATTGCACAGGCGGGGGCAAAGGAAATATCCTGTCGGTTTCGCTCACCGCATGAGATTTTCCGGGCGTTCCTTTTTCGGGATCTCTGCCTAATGTTGTCGGGCCGTGTAATATATTATCGTTTATGATGTTAACATAAAACTTGCACGCTTCGCCGACTGAATTGGTGGACTTGCGTGGCGCCCCTCGGTACCTGGCCTCATCCACTTTTATGCCTCACTTGCCACGTGCTCATAAAATAAACGCCCCAAGATGGATTGCCTCCCCCTGGTCATCCATCCATCCATCCGAATGGTAATCTTGATCCGTTGGGAGGCCTTTCCCCAAGTCCCTTTTTATCATTTTGCATAATGGCAATTGTAGACATTTTGATTCGCTTGTTTTATAGTCGTTTTAGTTGCAAAGCGGCTTACTTTATGGCCCTATTTGGAAAATGAGTTATGTCATTGATTTGTGGGGGCTTTTTAGATTTTGGAAAAGCCATTCCTTAATTTTAAGCTTATTCAGTCGAACGGAAAGGATTTCTGCGAATATGAAATTTAATTTTTGAATGAAATCTACTTATAAATATCCTATCAAGTATATATCATACGTCCTATATAAACGAAAACATTTTGAAAGCCACGTTTGTGAAAAGTCTTTCTGCATTTTAACTTCATAAACAGTTTTTCTTTAGCCTCAATATGCGGATTTTGGGTAAAATGCCCAGAGCCTCCTTTCAATTTGCCAAATGTTTGCATAACATTTCGAAGGAACAAATAGTGAGTAAGTCTAGTCTGCAAACAATTTTTTTGTTTCATTTGCAAGCCATGCATATTCATACCCATCCCTTCCGCAAGCCAGAAAGAGTATAAATAAAAAATGTCGAAAAAAGAATCAGAGAGGCTTTCCCTTTTTTCATGCGAGAGCCATAGAAAAATATGCTAAATAGGCAGGAAAAGTTGCATATCATATGCACTGCAAACAACGCACACACACACACGCACACATTGAAAGCTGTGCCTCATTTTCGTTTTTAGCTGCAGCTTTTCTTCAGCCCGACTATTTTTAGCCCTCGAGTCGGTATCCTTGCCTATATATCCCCCACCCCTTTCCCCCTCCTGGCACGCCCACTTCTCATCCCTTAAGCGCTTTCACTCGTGAATTTTTATGCGGAAAATTGAAAGGGGGCTGAGTGACCGGGTGGACATGGGACAATAAGAAAATTTAATTTACCGCATAGAATTAAAATAGGCAAAAGTCCGGGGAAAAATAAGCGAAAATTTTGCGCCTGTAAGGCAACAACAAAATGAAGGAAAATCCTTTTGTTTTCCGCTCTTGCGCCTACCCACGCTTGCCACCAAAACGCCACGCCCCCTCCCTTGGGGCGCCTCCCTTGAGACATTGTTGTTGCCTCCGCCACTGCCGTCGGTTTTAATTATGGAAAAAGTTTTTGCTTTATTTAGTTTAAACAATAAGTGGTTGGAAAATATGAATTATACAAAGAGACAGCTATGTTTGGCTGTGTGCGTGTATGTGTGTGTGTATGTTTGTGTCTGTGTTTGTATTCGTCTGTCTCTATGAGTGTGTGCAAACATTTCTTGAGCAAAATGCAAATATTTTTTGTTTCATACTTTTCCACCTTCGTCGTTTCAGGTGCCTTTGCATGGCAAGTGAGTCGTAAGCTGAGTCCCAGTTTTGTTTTCAGTTTTTCATCTGTTTTTCTCATATCTTTTCCACCTGCCATTCAACTAGTTTTTGCATTAAGTAATTTGAAAATTTTTTGAATGGGTATTTAATGGTAGTACTAGATCTTCAAGGATTTAGGTAAAGGATTTTGTGTGCTCAACATTTAAATAAATTTTTATATTTACCCAAATAATCATTTAATTAATTGTTTATTTTATTTTGTTTAGTTTTCAATTACTTCATCAACTTTATTAAATAAATACCCAGCCCTTAATCCTATTAAAATTTCATATCCTTCTTAAAGTATCTAGGAATTCACAACTCTGCTCACTCCCCAAATTTTGCCCACATTATACCCGCTCACGTATTTTCATCAGCCCGCAGCAAAATCGAATTTGCGCATAAATTTTCAAAAAGTGACAATAAAAATGACAAAGGCACCGCGTTGTAGCCACGAAGCTCCACCAGCAACAACGACCGCTAATCACAAAGCGTTTATCAGAGGATACTGCCCCATCCTTCCCCCAAAAGCAACTCCAAAGGACCCCAAACCCCAACAGACCCCGCCCATTTGCGTGCCTCCTGTCTCTCCACCTGTCAGTCGGTAATAAATTATTATCATTAATATTTTGCGCTTGATTTTGCCCCAGGAAGGACTACGGCAGGATAACGGCTGAAAGGACCAAAACGAAACGTTTTTTGCATAAAAATTAAGCGCACACCAATAACAGAGGCGAACAGTTTTCGGGGTAATAGAATATAGAACAAAAGCGTCAACAGAAATGTTTGAGACACGACCAAATTACTAGCGAGGGGAGCCTTCTATACACTGAAAATAATTTGGATATATATTTTTATGAAAAATGCTTATCAACAAAAAATATTATATATGTTTCGTAAGTTTTTAAATGTTTTGCAGTTTGTAATCTGCAGTATAAATCGCTTTATGTCTCAGAGTAAAATTAAAACAATAAAATTGCGTAAATCACCTTCAAAATTCTTAAATTTTTCCCTGTGTAACTGTGTGTGTGCGTGAGTCGGAAAAACTTTACAAACACTCTCGAAGTGCACGCGATAATGGCTCCCAATTTGGTAATTAATCACGTCCTCGTTCCTATTCTCGTTCCTTTTGCCTTTTTCTCGCCAAAAACAGCCACAGCTGCCCATTAAAAGTGGAGGATGTAGGCCAGCCACCTAGGCTTCATATTTTCCATTAGCTTTCCGTATATATATATATATATATTTGCCCACGTATACCTGTGTAGAGAAATTTTCCAGCCGCCAAACGTCGTTGCAGTCTACGTT